GAAATTTTAAGTTTTTCAATTGATTACTTTATTCAAGTTAATAAATAATACTCCAGTATTATTTTAATCTAATAATGCATTTTAGAACCAGTGCAGCGTCGATTGACCGAAAAAGGCAGACTTCAAGAGAAAGCTTTACTAGAACTTGAAATCTAATAATGCATCCCAACATGAAGTATTTTCACAGACCGTACCTTGCTGACCGAGAAAAGTGGACATTGAATTTGAATTTCAAGTTGATCATCTCCATTGATTCTTTGGAAGTTTGGAAATTCCGAAGCAAATATCTGCACTTGCTCGCATACAGAAACTTCCAATAATTTCAGAGATGGGCATTTAATATGCATTCGATGGCAGAAACCCTTGAGCTTCTGTAGCCTGTCAAGCTCCAGTTTTGTCAATTTCGAAAATACGAACTCGGTGTCAGTTTCCACCAACGTCGGCTGAGTGTCTACCAGAGCTTGTGAATGGCTAGCACTGGGTGCTTCAACTATTTCTTCTAGTGAATCACACCCGCGAATACGCAGATGGTCTAGTCTCTGAAGTCTTTCCAGCATACTAAATGGGAAAATGCTCACTAGCATTTCACACCAACCTATACCAATGGCTTTTAGTTTGCAAAAGGAATCTCCATCAAGTTGATCAGCCCATATTTTGTTCAAACTCTCCATACAATAGATCGCTAGGTCCTCTATTTGAGGGAATGCTACCTACAGATTTTATCAGATTGCATTAATAGCTAAACAATCTAAAAGAGATAGGACAGACCTAATAGAGATGATAGAAACTCAACTTTAGAATTAAAATGGAAAGGCTGTATTATAAGAGACGAATAACTATAAATCAAAGGAAAAACGATGGTAAGAATCACCTTTTCATTGAAGAAAGGTGGCGCATAGGTGTTTTCTGCCTTCTCATTACTGACAGCAATGTCTCCTATAACAGGACTAGAGGTGAATGTCTTCAACACACGGCATTTGCCTATTTGAAGTCGTGTAAGGTTGGGGAATTCAATGCAATTTTCAGGACAGAATCTTGTGAGTTTGGAAAGGCATTCAAGTACCAGGGCTTGCAAATTAGGGAACAACATCTTGCTCCTCCTTTCTTCTTCTGCTAATCCTTCTGCCACTATTACCCCTTCCATCATCTTGCAGTTTCGAATTGTCAGTGATTCAAGATGCTCAAAACTTTTAACCGTAGAGCATGTCAATAGATATCTCAAATTATCACAGCCATCCACTGTCAAATGTTTTAGTTTTTGAACAAAAGAAGGCATTTCTGGAACCGGTTGTGCCAAATTTGTTGAATGTTAAGAGACATACTTAAGAACTCCAACCTTGTAAACTTAATCTGCAAAGAGATTCTATTTAATCAAAAACTATTTTTTTTTCTGTAATCAAAAGTAAACAAAGTTAATTTTCTATCAGCTGCAATGACAACTCAGTTTTATCAATTGACCAAGAACGTGAGAATTAATAATAAACCAGCAATATGAATATAATATGTGCATAGATCCATGGAGTGACAGTACTCAACTCTGTCTGTTCTTTTGTAATATTGTCAAAATATTGTATCAAATCAAAAAATAGTAAATAGGAAAAAAGTCAATAGCTTCTCACAAAACCATTTCTCAATTATCTTAGTTTGCCAAAAAAGGAACGAATAGAGAGTTTGGTATGGCATAAGATCTGGAAGTTTTTTAAGTAGGAGATAGACGGGCCTCCAAGCTGGGAATGAAATGCAAACTACAAAATTCATCATTACAGGAAAAGGTAAGGGCAATAATTCTTTCGAAAGTTAGAAAGCAGAATGCATTGAAATGAAGAGAACTTACCTGTTCATTGAAGAGAGGCTTTATGTCAGTGGCTATATCTGTACTCATAGAGTTAACCATGAACTCCTTCAATTTTGGACAGTTTAATATGGTCAATTGCTTCAAGGATGGGAATGCCATGATGCAATTTCCTGAGTAGATTCCAACAAGGTTTTGAAGGTTTTCTATGTGCAAGAAGTCCAACTTGGGGAAAGAAATCTCCATTTCTTCCACATTCTCTGTCACAATAATCTCTCTCATATTCTTGCATTGATTTATCTTGAGGTGTCTAAGCTTCACCAGACCTCTAGCCATAGAGGATAAGAATAAGTGTTCTAAATTATCATAACCCTCAACAATAAGTTCTGTAAGGTTTTGAGTACAGTAAGATGTAGCTGAAGTATGCCATATGGTTGTAATTTTCATCGATGATAGTTTCAACTTCTCCAAGTATGGAAACTCAAACTGCACAACATGAGTAAATCTTGTCATTCTGACCAAGATAAGAAAAAGAAACATAGGTTTTAGTTATGATTAATTAACACAATGACAAGAAATGCAACAATTGATTATGGCCTCTGAGTTTGAATGCAACAATTGATTAAGGCCTCTTAGTTTCAGACAACTGTATTGATTCATGGCCTCTTAGTCTCTTTAATATCATATTATTAGCATTTTACTTCTTAATTTTTTTTAATCAGCAGCATTTACTTCTTAATTAGTTTTACAATGAAGTTAAAATTTTAAATTTGAATCTGGTATGACTCAAGCGAAAACTAGTAATTTTATGGTTGGTGTCACTTAGCATTTAAACAAGTTTCAATATGTTTCCTACTCTTATTCAGAATCAAAGTATAGCATGTCTTTTATTAAAGGGGAAAAAAAAGGAAAGAATAAATTAAATACCTTCTCAGTGAAAAGGGGAACATGACTCAAGCTTGTATCATTTTCTTGGCTGAAGCTAATGAACTTCGGTAGATTTTGTAGTCTCAAGGAATGCAATTG